GCTAGTATACCTCCCTAAATGCCCAGCACCGTTGCTGGGACAAGACCTGCTATGTCGCCTAGGTGACACCCTGCATTTTACTCAAGATAAAATAACCCTTACCTTACCTCCTAAAAATGCATAGATTATAGCCCTTGCAGTTGAACCCTCAGCTATGCAAGCCCCAAAATAAGACCAGTAAAAAGTTCAAGTGTATCCCCTTGTGTGAGCATCAGAGATCCCAAGAAAAGCTACTCACCAAACCCCCATTCATGTCCAGCTCATACCCAAAAAAAGCCCGGTGCAAGTAAAACAATATCCAATCAAAAAAGAAGCCAGAGAGGGGTTACAAAAAATCATAGATCGATTTCTAATGTACAGTATTCTCCGGAAATGTCAGTCAGCCTGGAACACTCCCATTTTACCCGTACAGAAACCTGATGGCACGTACCGGCTGGTACAAGACCTAAGGGCAGTTAATGAACAAGTTAAGACTCTGCACCCTCTTGTCCCTAACCCGTATACCCTATTGGCTTCTATAGGAAGACAGTATACCCATTTTTCAGTTCTTGATTTAAAAGATGCTTTTTTTGCCATCCCAGTTGACACCTCAGCACAAGAGATTTTCTCCTTCAAATGAAAGGATCAAAACAAAGTCAAAAAGCAACTCTGCTAGACAATGTTAGCCCAAGAGTTTAAAAATTCTCCCACCCTCTTTGGCCAGGCTCTGGCCAGAGACCTAGAGGAGTGGCATAATAAAGAAGCCCTCCTTTTGCAATACGTAAATGATCTGTTAATTGCCACTGTGAGCTTAACTCCCTGCCTTAAAGCCACCGTGAGTCTCCTGAATTTTGTGAGACTCCGAAGATATTGAGTAGCACGAAGTAAAGCTCAGATCGCTCTCCCACAAGTACAGTACCTCGGGTTCTACATACAGCAAAAAAAAAACGCCAGCTTTCAAATAAAAAAGAAAAGCCATATGCCAAATTCCTATCCCGAGTAATCGCAAGCAGCTCAGAGCATTTCTAGAAATAGCAAGCTTCTATAAAATATAGATCCCAAAGTTTAAACTATAAGCTAGACCCCTGTACAACTGTGTAAAAAAAGCAGACCATGACCCCTTTCATTAGGCCCCAAAAGCTGACAAAGCATTTAAAATCCCAGAAAAAAAGCTAATAGACGCCCCGGCTCTAAGTCTACCAGATCTCTCCAAGCCATTTCAGTTGTATGTACATAAACAAAAAAAGTGGCCCTGGGAGTACTCACACAGCTGCTAAGAGCACAAAAACGTCTGGTGGCATATTTTTCTAAACAACTGAACCAAGTAGCCAAAGGCTGGGCAGCGTGCCTGTGGGCAGTGGCAGCCACCGCCCTGACCCTGGCAGAAGCAGAAAAACTGACACTAAAAAGAATACAAGTTTTTACACCACACATAGTACGCGCTTTACTAACTGTTAAAGGCGGCCCCTGGCTCACACAAGAGCGCATGGCAAGATACCAAGCAAAGCTCTTAGAGAACCCCGAGGTCACGCTGCAGCCTTGCCCATCCCTTAACCCTGCCACCCTCTTACCAGAAACTGAGAAATAGGAACATGACTGTTTAAAGATCATAATGCCCAATATACTAGCCACCCAGACTTGAAGGATGTGCCCCTCCCACATGCAGATTATGAGTAGTACACTAATAGTAGCAGCATAGTGGTAAATGGGCAAAAAAGAGCGAGTTATGCTGTTGTGACCCTCAATGACACCGTAAAAGCTGAAAGTTTGCCCGCTGAGACCTCTGCCCAGTTAGCTGAGCTAGTGGCTCTGACCCGTGCACTCGAACTGTCCAAAGGAAAACAGGTCAATATTTTCACTGATTCCAAATATGCTTTACTGTGCTGCATGCTCATGCTGGCCTGTAGAAGCAGAGGGGAATGCTGACAGCCCAAGGCTCTCCAGTCAAGTACAAGCCCCAAATTCTCTGGCTTCTAAAGGCAGTGCAACTCCCGTTTAAAAGTAGCAGTAGTACACTGTAAAGCCCATCAGAGAGCAGATCAAAATGTGACCGGGGTAATGCCAAAGCAGATAGAGAAGCGAAGCATGCTGCCATCCTGATGTCCCCTCAGACTGAGAACACCTATATGCATGCCCTTATCCCATCAGTGGGGAAACTCCCGACCCCTCAGTATTCTAAAAAAGAAAAACAGCTAGCTGACAAACTTGGTCTCCAGGGAAAGGAGGGATGGCTTCATTCCTCGGAAGGGAAAGGCCTCTTACCAAAGAGCCTAATTCTGCCAGTATTACAAAAATCACATCAAACCTCTCATGCTGGCAGAGAAACACTTATCCAACTAATAAAAAAGTACTTCATAACCTCCAGACTCAGACCCCTGGCTGCCCAAGTACAAGCAGAATGCCTAGTCTGTCAAAAGAATAACCCCCGACCAAGACACCCAGTACCACCAGCGGCCCTGGAACCCACTCCAAGCCCCGGACGGGTGTAGCAAATAGACTTTACTAAGTATCCCCAGACCCAAAAATTCAAGTATCTCATTGTCATAGTAGATAAATTCAGCAGATGGCCAGAAGCCTTTCCATGTCGCAATTGCACTGCCAGGACAGTGGCTCTCAAGTTTGTTAAAAAAATTATTCCTCGCTTTGGACTTCCCCAGTAAATAGAATCTGACAATAAAACACACTTCATGTCAAAAATTGTCCAAAGCATCTCAGACGCCTTACAGATTCCCTAAAAACTCCATACACCATGAAGACCACAAGCCAGTAAAGTAGTAAAGCAGACCAACCAGATCCTTAAACAACATCTCTCAAAAGTATGCCAAGAGGCCTCCCTACAGTGGCCTGACGCCCTGCCCCTAGTTCTGCTCCACATCCGTGCTCTCCCAAAAAGTAGATTAAAGCTCAGTCCCTTTAAAATTATGTTTAAAAAAACATAGCCTATAAATAGTACACCAGTTGTGTCAAAAAAAAAAAGTAAAAATTAAAAAATAAGTTTCTGTCTCAATATATGTGTTCCCTGTCTGCTGTTCTTTTGTCTCTTCACAAGTATACTAAAGATTCCCAGCCTCTACCCTTGGACTCACCCGTCCACTCCCTGCAGCCTGGTGATTCAGTGCACGTACGTACCTGGAAACACGAGCCCCTCCAGGAAAACTGGAAGGGACCCTATACCATTGTTGCCGGCACCCAGTGCCGAGAGGCTGAACAACAGCTTGAGTTGGTTCATTACCCGGTGTGCTACACCCAATAATCACAACGGGGTGGAGAAGCAGAAAAGTTTATTTGAAGCTTCAAAAAGGTACAGGGAGATTTGAATCTCAAATCCTGTACAACAGAGTAGGAAGTTACACAGGCTTTTATACATCCTTTTTCCCAGCATACTTATCCAATAGCAAGCTGCTCCAAGTATCCATATAGCCAGCCAATCCAGTTCCCAGCTAGTTCCCTGATTCTCTGTATTATTTGTTAAACTATACATAAAGCTGCTTTATTCAGCATTGTTCTTCCATATCTCCCCTGTTTGGCCTTGCTTAGTTTCAGGCAGTCTGACTCTGCAACATACTGTTGCAGATTCTCAGCATAACTGCTGTGTGTGCCTCCAGGCGGGGGGGCCAAGGACACTTGGGCCTAGCACGCAGAGCTGCTGCGAGTGCCTCCAGGCAGGAGGGGGGGGGGGCAAGGACACCGGGGCCTAGTGCGAGGGGGCTTCATCGACACTCGTGGTCTTCCATCCCCTCGAGTTACCTAGTGGCCATGCCCCAGTGTTCCCAACAACTCCCCCCTTTGAGAACACTCAACAGCCTTGGCTCTGAGTTTTCTCACTTGGGCTACTTATTTCTTTACAATATGACTTTGCATAAGCACTTTGTGATAGCCCTGAAGAGAATGACTTATTAACTTTTGCAAAAGGGCCCTGACACATGATACTGCACAGCATAATACCAGTAATACAAGCAATACCGGAAAGAGAAATTTCAATAGCAGGCTAAATAAACCACCAAGCCAAGACAACAAACCCCAACCTGAAAACAAGGTTTGCAACCAATCGTTCTCTGGGGCAGTATAGGCAACCTGTGCTCCGGCTCGGGCATGGGCTTCAGCCTGTACCACCTTTTCATAGATCTCATAACTGCTATCATTGACATATACACAACATTGGGGCCCGACGAGGGCACAAACCCCTCCTTGGGATGCCAAGAGATAGTCCAAAGCCAGCCTGTTTTGGAGGGAAAACGTCCTGAGCTGCTGTACCTCTTTATTTAATGTTTTTACTGCTGACCCTAAATCACTAACCGAGTCCTCTAACTCTAAGGCCACTTTCTCAAGTACCATCTGCAGCCTTACAGTATAGCGGCCTATGCATGCCAGGGCTGGCCCGGTAAACAGTGGCGCTATTCCCAGTACAGAGCACCCTACCAGCTTCTCGGTTGTGAGGGGATTCTTCATATTGCCCTCCAATGCCTTAGTCAGTCGCCGCAGGGTCTTTTCTCGTGACTCAACAGAGGTGTCTCGGGCATTTCTAATCTTTCCTTTGGGCAGTGTGGCAGTTATGGAAAGATGAGGAACTCCATGAGCTATATAACAGCTACCTGTCCAGTTGGCTGGCAGCACCTTGTAAGCCTTTCGGCCACATACAAAATAGTGACCCTGTAGGGCCCAGTAAGGACTGTTTTTTAAGGGGATTTCTGGGATATTTAAGGCTGCTTTTTCAAACAGTTTATATGCCCCTAGGGGGGCATTCCATCCTCCTGATTGGGTACAAGTGGGGGCATTTGTAATTGTCCCGTTTAAATTACACTTGCCATAGGGACCACTACAAACCCACCATTGGCTTGCTACATTGGAGATATTAAATGGACGGCAAGTTACATTTGCAAACCCCTTTTTTGTGGTAAGATTATTTGTAAGTGTTTTCCTAAAAGGGGAGGAACCATTACACCCACACTGTTGGCCTCCCCTGTTGGTTTTTATTCAATACCCATTAGCCCACTGTGTAATAACACAGGAGCTTTTTTCCACAGGATGCCCATAGGGATCAGATTGGTTTTGGGTAAAACATAACACTTCCTCAGTGAGTACTGCAACTGAATACTTCTGGTCCTGATAGGTGGCTTGCTGTAAAGAGGTCTTGTTTCAGAACGGTGAGTTTGTTCTTTCCTGCTCTTTGGTGGTGGCTAATTCTGCTAGGGTCAAGGGCAGCATGTTAAGGGGCATTCCCGTCTTGGGGGATAGTGGAGTTGGAGCACATACCCAGCAATTAGTCTGGTTTGTTAAATTAGCAACATGGTGCGCAAGCAAAACAAAGGAGTTATGCTCCCGATACGCACAGTTTGGAAATACCAATACAAAGAATAACAATGTTACCCAATTAATTATTACCAGAGTCTTTCCAACCCAAGGTCTTTAGTACCTGGGTGGGCCCATTTTAGCATTAAGGTGCCCGCTATTTGTGTCTTTTAAACAGTAGCTTTAGCCCGAGATCGTCACTAGATGAGGAGTCAGCAGGTTGGACGGTCCACTGTTCTGCTGACGAGGGGGCAGGTACTGCCTTCAGACGAGAGTGATGGATCCAGTTCTTGTGGCCCTTGATCTTTGCCGCTGTATGGGAGGTCAGCAGGACGGTATAGGGTTCTTTCCACTTTTCCTGGAGAGGCTTGTCTTTCCAGGTGCGAACAAGCACAGAGTCACCGGGCTGTAAGGAGTGAACGGGAGAGTCCAAGGGGAGAGGCTGGGAATCCTTGGTATACCTGTGAAGAGACAAGAGAACAGCAGACAGGGAACACATATACTGTGACAAAAAAACATTACTCAACTCCCATTCCCCTGACAGAACCGGGGTGCCATTCATGGGCCATGCCCTTTCAAACATAATTTCAAAGGGACTGAGCCCTAATCTACCCTTTGGGAGAACGCGGATACGGAGTAGGACGAGGGGCAAAGCATCAGGCCATCTCAGTGAGGCTTCTTGGCACACTTTTGAGAGATGCCGTTTAAGGGTCTGATTGGTACGCTCCACTACACCACTGGCTTGCGGTTTCCAGGGCGTATGGAGTTTCCAGGGGATCTGTAAGGCATGTGAGATGCTTTGAATGATTTTTGACGTGAAGTGTGTCCCATTGTCAGATTCCATCCACAGGGGGAGTCCAAAGCGAGGAATGAGCTCCTTAACAAACTTGAGGGCCACTGTCCTGGCAGTGCAGTTACGGCATGGGAAGGCTTCTGGCCATCCGCTGAACCGATCCACTATAACAAGGAGATATTTGAACCCTTGGGTCCGGGGAAACTCAGTAAAGTCTATTTGCCACACTTGTCCGGGGCCCGGAGTGGGTTCTAGGGCAGCTGGTGGCACAGGATGTCCCGGTCGGGGGTTATTCTTTTGGCAGACTAAGCAGTACCTGGGCAGCCAGGGGTCGGAGTCCAGAAGTGATAAAGTATTTTCCCATTAGCTGGATAAGTGTTTCCCTGCCAGCATGAGTGGTTTGATGTAGTTTCTGCAGCACTGGCCGGATTAGGCCCTTTGGTAAGAGGACCTTCCCTTCTGGGGAATGGAGCCATCCCTCCTTTTCCCGGAGACAGAGTTTGTCAGTTAGCTGTCTCTCCTCCCCAGAGTACTGAGGGGTTGGAAGCTCCCCTACTGATGGGATAAGGGCATGTATATGGGCGTTCTCAGCCTGGGGGGATGGCAGGGTGGCAGCATGCTTAGCCTCTCTATCTGCCCGGGCGTTACCTCTGGCCACATCTTGATCCTCCCTTTGATGGGCTTTACAGTGTACCACCGCCACTTCCGAGGGGAGTTGTATGGCTTCTAGGAGCCGGAGGATTTGGGGCCCGTACTTGACTGGGGAGCCTTGGGCTGTTAGCATTCCCCTTTGCTTCCATAGGCCAGCATGAGCATGCAGCACACCAAAAGCATACTTTGAATTAGTAAAAATGTTGACCCGCTTTCCTTTTGACAGTTCAAGTGCACGGGTCAGGGCTATTAGTTTGGCAAGCTGGGCAGAGGTCCCAGCAGGCAAACCTTCAGCTTCCACAGTGTCATCGAGGGTCACAACAGCATAACCCGCCCTCCTTTGCCCATCTATTACAGTACTGCTACCATCAGTGTACCACTTATAATCTGCATTTGGGAGAGGTACATTCTTTAAATCCGGACGGCTGGAGTACTGGACATCTATGATCTTTAAACAGTCATGTTTCTGTTCCTCTGTTTCTGGCAAGAGGGTGGCTGGGTTAAGGGAGGGGTAAGGCTGTAGGGTGACTTCAGAGTTCTCTAACAGCTTAGCCTGGTACTGAGCAATCCGAGCCTGGGTGAGCCAAAGCCCTCCCTTTGCATCCAATAAGGCTTGGACCATATGGGGAGTATAGATTTGCATAACCCCTCCCAATGTTAGCTTTTCGGCTTTCTTAAGCAATAGGGCAGTAGCTGCGACCGCCTGTAAACATGCCGGCCAACCCTTTGCAACCTGATCCAATTGCTTAGAAAAATAAGCCACAGGACGCTTCCATGCTCCTACCAGCTGTGTAAGCACTTCTAGGGCCACCCCCCTTCGTTCATGTACATACAACTGAAACGGCTTAGAGAGATCCGGCAGTCCAGAGCCGGGGCTTCCATCAATTTTCTTTTCAGAATTTTAAATGCCCTGTCAGCCTCTGGGGTCCAATAGAAGGGGTCATGATCTGCTCCTTTTACACAGTCATACAGGGGTTTAGCCCACAGTCCAAACTCTAGGATCCATATCCTGCAAAAGCCTGCCATACCCAGAAATGCCCTGAGCCGCTTACAGTTACTTGGGGTAGGAACTTGACAGATAGCTTCCTTTCTTTCGCTTGAAAGCTGACGCTCCCCTTGCCGTATGTGAAACCCGAGGTACCGTACCTCTGGGAGGGCAATTTGAGCCTTACTTCGTGCTACACGATATCCCCGGAGTCCAATAAAATTCAGGAGGCTCACGGTGGCTTTAAGGCAGGGTTTTTGGCCCACAGTGGCAATTAACAAATCATCTACATACTGCAGAAGGAGAGCCTCCTCATTATCCCACTCCTGTAGGTCCCTGGCCAGAGCCTGGCCAAAAAGGGTGGGAGAGTTTTTAAATCCCTGGGCCAACACTGTCCAGCAAAGTTGCTTTTTAACCTTTTTCGGTCCTCCCACTCGAAGGAGAAGATCTCCTGTGATGGGGTGGCAACTGGGATGGTAAAGAAAGCATCTTTCAGATCAAGGACTGAAAAATGGGTATACTGTCCCCCTATAGAAGCCAATAAGGTGTACGGGTTAGGGACAAGAGGGTGCAGAGTCTTAACCCGTTCATTGACTGCCCTTAGGTCCTGTACCAGCCGATACGTGCCATCAGGCTTCTGTACGGGTAGAATGGGAGTGTTCCAGGCTGACTGACATTCCCGGAGAATACCATACATTAGGAATCGATCTATAGTTTCCTGTAAACCTTTTCTGGCTTCCCTCTTGGTTGGATACTGTTTTACTTGCACTGGGCCTTTCCCTGGTATGAGCTGAATAGTAATAGAGGTCTGGTGGGTGGCCTTTCCTGGAATCCCTGATGCCCACACGAAGACACGGTACACCTGGTCTTCCCACGGACTCCATTCTGGGGCTTGCATGGCTGAGGGCTCAACTGCAAGGGTCATGATCCAGGCATTCTCAGGGGGTAAGGTAAGGGTTATTTCGTCCTCAGTAAAATGCAGGGTGGCACCGAGGCGACAAAGTAGATCCCGTCCCAGCAGAGGTGTTGGACACTCAGGGAGGTATACCAGCTTGTGGGATATAGTCCTGTCTCCCAAAGCACATTCCGCTGGGGCATACACTGGGCACTTGGTGTCCCTGCCTGTGGCTTCCACCACAGTAAGGGAATCTGCTACTGGCAACTGAAGAGGCTGATTTACGGCAGTTCGGGCCGCTCCAGAGTCCACTAAAAAAATCTATTTCTGAGCTTCCCACCCGCATTTTTACTCGGGGTTCCGGGGGTAGGGTGGTCCGTCTCCCCTGACACCCCTATTCCTGCTTCACCATCGCCATCATAGGGGCACCTCCCTTTTCTTTCCTCTTTGGGCACTCATTTTTCCAGTGTCCCTCCTGTCGACACAGGGCACACTGGTTGCGACCCAGTCGTCTCTCCTGCAGGCCCGGACGGTCGCGTCCACGGCCCCTTCCTCCCCGGCCACTTCTTTTAGTGCCGGCCTGTACCGCTGTTACCATCAATCTCACTTGCTTTCTTTCCTTCTCTGTCTCTCTCAGACTATAAGCTCGGTTTGCAGTCTCTAAAATTTGTGCCATGGTAATACCCATTAAATCCTCCTTTTTTTGTAACTTTCTCTTAATATCAGGGGCTGCTCTGCTCGTAAAAATTCCCTTAATAATTGACTCAGTTGCCTGATCATCGGGGTCTGCATTAGTGTTCTGTCGAATGGTGTCCCGAATACGCTGTAGAAAGGCCCCTGGGCTTTCTTTTAAATCCTGCATTACTTCATATGGCTTTGCCCAATTATTATGTCGGACAGCCGAGTGACGGAGTCCATGTAAAAGCAACTCCTTATAGGAGGTAAGGCAGGTCATATCCCCAGGATCATTTGGATCCCACCTGGGGTCTGCTCGGGGGACTTGTGCATCCGGGTCAGGGACATTAATACGATCCCGGTCGTACCGTCTCTGCGTCTCCTCCCTTGCCTTGGACACAACCTGTTGTCTTTCAACCTCAGACAACAGGGTTCGCAGGAGGACGTTACAATCATCCCAGTCCGGCTTGTGACTACTGAGGCACCCCTCAAAGACTGATATAAACCTGCTTGGGTTGGTGGAAAACTCTCCTGCCTGTGCTTTGAAAGCAGCCAAATCCACAGGATTAAAGGGCACATGAGTATAAACCTGCATAGTTGTGGCAGGACGCCTGTCTGATCCAGACCGGGCGACTTTAGTTTCGGTGATTAAGGGGTATAGGCCAACCATTGGGGACTTACAAGGTGTGGGTGTAGGGGCCGAAGGGGACACCGGCTCTGCCATTACAGTGGGGGTGGGGCTCTGGGGACTAACATTAGCTGCTACCGAACCAGTCGGAGTCAGATTACAGCGCTGTAAAATATCTGGTCAAGTACATAAAGTCAGAAACAAATGCGCATACATATGTTCATTCCATTTCCTTGTTCTCTGACAGAACAGGAGTAACTGAAGGGTCGTGTTGTAATTAATTGACCCTCCTGGTGGCCACCACTCCTGGTCCTCTAGTTGATATTGAGGCCAGTCAACTGTACAGAATCGTTTTAATTGGTTCTTAGTCATCGGATCCGCACCAAATACCTTCCAGTTTGCTAGAATGCACTCTAGGGGCGTACACCGTGCCCTAACCTCTGAGCTCTGTCCCTGTCCCATACCTACAGGGTAACTCTGGGCGTCCCCAGGTTCCAACAGAGCATACAATCCGGATTTTAAAAGGTTCCTACCTTATCCAAGGGACCGGTTCTTCACCGTGGCCTGCAGCTGCTCCTCCCCCATGTCTAAGGGACCGGTTCTTCACCGCCATCCACAACAGCTTCTCCACTATATGAGTGCGTTGCACCGTTGTGCCCTCTGGGGTCGATCAAATCGCGTCTCCTCCAAGGCCCCTGATGAACTCACCGGTGCGCGCTGGGCGTCGGTTCTCGCCGCAATCCTCGACCTCCAGGAGGGGTCCGGGCAAGGCTAAATTGCAGCCTCGAGCCCACCCAGGGACGCCAAAAGCTGTTGCCGGCACCCAGTGCCGAGAGGCTGAACAACAGCTTGAGTTGGTTCATTACCCGGTGTGCTACACCCAATAATCACAACGGGGTGGAGAAGCAGAAAAGTTTATTTGAAGCTTCAAAAAGGTACAGGGAGATTTGAATCTCAAATCCTGTACAACAGAGCAGGAAGTTACACAGGCTTTTATACATCCTTTTTCCCAGCATACTTATCCAATAGCAAGCTGCTCCAAGTATCCATATAGCCAGCCAATCCAGTTCCCAGCTAGTTCCCTGATTCTCTGTATTATTTGTTAAACTATACATAAAGCTGCTTTATTCAGCATTGTTCTTCCATATCTCCCCTGTTTGGCCTTGCTTAGTTTCAGGCAGTCTGACGCTGCAACATACTGTTGCAGATTCTCAGCATAACTGCTGTGTGTGCCTCCAGGCGGGGGGGCCAAGGACACTTGGGCCTAGCACGCAGAGCTGCTGCGAGTGCCTCCAGGCGGGGGGGGGGGGGGCAAGGACACCGGGGCCTAGTGCGAGGGGGCTTTATTGACACTCGTGGTCTTCCATCCCCTTGAGTTACCTAGTGGCCATGCCCCAGTGTTCCCAACACCATCCTGCTGGTCTCCCACACAGCAGCAAAGGTCGAGGGACACAAAAATTAGATTAATTATACCCGGCTAAATGTGGTGTCAACCCGCCCCCCCCCCCCGGCTGAAAGGTGGACCGTGCATTCAGCCCCCTCCACTAAAAATCTTAAACTAAAATTACTATTTAAACGACAGCCTGCCAAAAAAGCAAAAAAATAAATAAAAAAGTATATTTTATTTCCCCTCTTGGCCATGTGCCTAACCGGTACTGCTGTTTCAGGCATTGTACCCGTAAATACCTGGTTAGCACTGCCCCAGAGTGCAGTGAATGCAACGTCGTTTTGTTGGCCACATACATTTTCAGTGAGTGCAACCATAAAGACTTGTTTTATTAGCATATGTGCAGCCCCAACCCTAGTTCAGAATTATTCCCTGTTAAAAACCATAAATAAAACATTTACTTATACTGATTTATATACCCTTAGATCTGCCCAGTATAAGTTAGATGTCTCCATGTTTTCTTATTACCTAGCCAATACAACCCTTGCCCCCTCTTATATAAAGTTTGTAAATGCTACTCACATTAAAAAAAACCTCACCAATAAAAAACTTAAATATAATAACAGTATAAAAATCTCCTTTGCCTACGAGCACATGAAATTGCCAGCAAAGTAGTTCCTTATATGTAGCAGACATGTATTCCTATGTCCCGGCCAATAGTTATGAGAGTCCCTGCTCTCTTAGTCACGTAGCCCCATTGAGTTTTCCATACCCGCCGCAGTTATCTGCCCATCATAAAATGGATGCTATTCCCCTTGATTCCACCTGTAAGTCAGAAGTAACCTTTTTCTCAAAGAGTGAGGCAGCAGCTCTGGCCTTTTCTTTAGTTAGTATCCCTAAGCTTGTGGTGCATAATTATCACACAGTAGAGCACCTTGCCTGCACAGTGGCAAAGGCCATTAACTTAACCTCAACCGTCCTGGCCCAACTCTCACATGAGTTAAGAAAAGTACGTCAGAGTATGCTACAAAACAGGCTGGCTGTAGACTATTTGCTTCTATGCCATAGTCACCTATGCCAAGAGTTTGCAGGCATGTGTTGCTTTAATATAACAGATGCAAAGCCATCCGTAAAAGCTGATTTACAACGCCTAAAGCAGCTAGTAAAAAGCATTCATCAGCAAACTAAAAAAGATTAGCTAAGCTCTCTATTTTCTAGTTAAGGCCTTTCCCCGTAACTAAGTAAGTTGTTTAGCCTATTATTTAAGGTTTTTTTCCCTATATTAATCATGTTATATTTACTGTGTTGTATGTAGTACTGTGTAAAAATGCTTATTTTACAGAGTTTTAAAATTTTTAATTTTATACATAGCCCACTAATAAATAAATAAAAAACCTCAAACAATAAAAATAAATATTCTAAAAAAAAAATTGTTAAAGACCCCAAAACATAGTCACTAGTTAAATTAAAAAAATAAAAAAACATAAAAGTCAAAAAAGTCTCCCTGCTAAAAGCCTAAAGGCTTCTTCTCAACCCCCTTTAATAAAATTCAAGCCTGACTAGTTTAAGTAAGCTCTTTTGCTCTTAAAACAATGTTGCAGTTGTAAATAATGCCTTATAGTGTAAAATTTGCTAACACCAAGTTAAAAATAATAAAAAAACAGTTACAAAGCCAAACAAAATGTGCTAGTTGTTTAAGTTGCTAAAAATACTTATTAAAAGTTACAAAAAATAAATATTATTATAATCCATATAAAAAAAGCAAAGTATTTGTGCAAAATTTTAATTAACTGATATATAATACAGTAACATTAAAAAATATAAAAGCGTGTGTAATGACCTGCTCTGATGTGCAGGATTTGAGATTCTATTCTCCCTGTACCTTGTTTGCAGCTGCAAATAAACTTTTCTGCTTCTCCACCCCGTTGTAATTATTAAGTGAAGCACACCAAGTAACGAACCCCTGCTGTTGTTTTGCCTCTGAGCACTAAGTGCCAGCAACACTAGCAACAAAGCCCGATGCCAACTCTGTCCACATATTTATTCAAGTGACACCATCATAGGACCTAATCACATTAGCCACGACATCAGGGGCTCGTTCACCTGCACATCTACCAATGTGATATATGCCATCCTGTGCCAGCAATGCCCCTCTGCCATGTACATTGGCCAAACCGGACAGTCTCTATGCAAAAGAATAAATGAACACAAATCTGACATCAGGAATCATAACATTCAAAAACCGGTAGGAGAACACTTCAACCTCTCTGGCCACTCAGTAAAAGATTTAAGGATGGCAATTTTGCAAAAGAAAAGCTTCAGAAACAGACTCCAACGAGAAACTGCTGAGCTTGAATTAATATGCAAACTAGATACCATTAACTTGGGTTTTAATAGAGACTGGAGTGGCTGGGTCTTTGCATATATTGAATCTATTTCCCTAAATTAAGTATCTTCACACCTTATTGTCAGCTGTCTAAATGGCCATCTTGATTATCACTACAAAAGTTTTTTTTCTCCTGCTGATAATAGCCCATCTTAACTAATTAGCCTCTCACAGTTTGTATGGCAACTTCCAACTTATCTGTATGTATATATATGTCTTCTTACTATATGTTCCATTCTATGCATCCAATGAAGTGGGCTGTAGCCCACGAAAGCTTATGCTCTAATAAATGTGTTAGTCTCTAAGGTGCCACAAGTACTCCTGTTCTACTTACATCACAGCAACCCCCACGGTGGATTTCCCATCTCCAAACTGATTCCTGACTGATCGGTAGCAATCTGGCATTGCAAACTTCCACACAGCGATCACCACTCGCTTCCCCACTGTCAGTGCAGCTCTCATTTTGGTGTTGTTGTGCTGAAGGGCTGGGAAGAGCTCTGCACACACACCCAGGAATGTGGCCTTGAGCATCAGAAAGTTCTGCAGTCACTGCTTGTCATAAATATAAAGGGAAGGGTAATCACCTTTCTGTGTACAGTGCTATAAAATCCCTCCTGGCCAGAGGCAAAACCCTTTCACCTGTAAAGGGTTAAGAAGCTAAGATAACCTCGCTGGCACCTGACACAAAATGACCAATGAGGGGATAAGATACTTTCAAATCTGGAGGGTGGGGGGAACAAAGGGTTTGTCTGTCTGTGTGATGCTTTTGCCAGGAACAGATCAGGACTGCAGTCTCAGAACTTCTGTAAAGTTAGTAAGTAATCTAGCTAGACATGCGTTAGATTTCCCTTTGTTTAATGGCTGGTAAAATAAGCTGTGCTGGATGGAATGTATATTTCTGTTTTTGCATCTTTTGTAACTTAAGGTTTTGCCTAGAGGGATTCTCTATGTTTTGAATCTGATTACCCTGTAAGGTATTTACCATCCTGATTTTACAGAGGTGATTCTTTTACCTTTTCTTTAATTAAAATTCTTCTTTTAAGAACCTGATTGATTTTTCATTGTTCTTAAGATCCAAGGGTTTCGGTCTGTGTTCACCTGTACAAATTGGTGAGGATTCTTATCAAGCCTTCCCCAGGAACGGGGGTGTAGGGCTTGGGGGGATATTTTGGGGGAAGACGTCTCCAAGTGGGCTCTTTCCCTGTTCTTTGTTTAAAACGCTTAGTGGTGGCAGCATACAGTTTAAGGACAAGGCAAAGTTTGTTCCTTGGGGAAGTTTTTAACCTAAGCTGGTAAGAATAAGCTTAGGGGGTCTTTCATGCGGGTCCCCACATCTGTACCCTAGAGTTCAGAGTGGGGAAGAAACCTTGACACTGCTCATCAATCCCATACTGGCGTAATGATGTGATCCCACCAGAAAGTGCATGTTTCTCAGGCTCACAACCAACGCTCCACCATCTGCAGCTGCTCTGTGAATGCCACAGACAACCCTGAATTGTTTCTTCCTATGTCCCAGCAAGGCTACAATGCACAGATGTTCCCTGCAGCTACTCTGGTGGCTCTTCAAATGCTGTGCTCATCACAAAAGTGCAGAGCTGTGCAGGGTCCTTGCTTCTCACACAGATGGCAGATGTGTGGGTTTGTGGGGCTTTTGAAATTAAGGCACAAAACATTATAGGATGCAGATAAAATTATGGAATGGAGAAAACTGAATTATGGGCCATGGAAATTATATTCCCAGTCACCCCTGTATTACTCATTTGCCCCCATGAGGCATTGCAAACCCTTTCCAAAACACCCTGTGTTAGATGATGGTAAGTTGCACAGTGGGATAGCTACCCACGGTGCACTGCTCTCTGCATCGATGCAAATGCTGGTAAGTGAGGACATGCACCACTGACACAAGAAGCGTTGTGTGGACACGTAAAAGTGATTTAATTACTGTAGAGGCTGTATGTTGACATAACTTAAGTCAACTTAATTTTGTAGTGTAGACTTACCCAAATCAGGCCTGACATACTGAACTAGTGGGGTTTCACCAAAAGATGGGGTGTTGGAACAATTTGTGTAGTGGGGGCACTGAGAGCCATTGAACCAAACTGTAAACCCTGTAGTATATGATGGAAACCTCTTCAAGCCAGGGGGTGCAGCAGCCAGAAACCTTAGTTCCAGTACCTATGCCAGAAGACTGAGATGTCTCATTGTGACAAAGACGTATTCCAAAGGACAGGACACCACATTGACCACTGAATCCAGAGCATTAATCTCTTTTATTCCCTTTCTTGCATACACATAACAATAAAGCCATTTCTGCTAGAAGTGGGAAGGTGCAAATTGTCTTTTTGCAGAAATCAGCTATATTTTATGCTTCTTGCAGTCACCACCACTGTGAATGATATTGTGCTCTATGGTTACAATGTGTTTAAAATTAGGCAGAGACCAAAAAAACAACAACAACAAAACAAATACAGTACAGAACTATGGTAAATGTAAACTACTAAAAAAAGGGCAAGCAGCATTTTTCTTCTGCATAGTAAAGTTTCAAAGCTGTATTAAGTCAATGTTCAGTTGTAAACTTTTGAAAGAACCACCATAACGGTTTGTTCAGAGTTATGAACATTTCAGAGTTACGAACAACCTCCATTCCCAAGGTGTTCATAACTCTGAGGTTCTACTGTAACAGGCAGTTG